CGCTGGTCGCTTGGTCGCTGGTAAGTGGGAGTAAAAAGAATGTTCTTGCAACTTACTTTCTCTAAGAGTTCAACAAAGTGCTCAGTAGAGTACAAGTTGCTGTAGTAATTCGGAGTTCCACGCTTCGCAATCAGTGCATTTGATTGGAAAAAGTCCCTGAACAAGAAGATTTAGTCAAAGGGAGTGGTGTCAGGGGTGGAGCGAGCCCACCTCGGCTGCCTTTTCTACCAATAGTAATCAATAAGTGCTCGGTTTAGTTTAAAAAGAAAAAAAATACTTATAGGAAGCAAAATGGATGGGCTCACTTGCTTCTGAAACCCCCGCAACTGATTGCGACCATACCAACTATAAGTTCAGCTGCAGCTATACCTTTCACCACTGTGGAATGGGAGGCGGGCAAGACAATCATAATTTGTCGCGTAGCCGCGCGCGGCCGCTTGCGCGGTAAATCCTGGATATGCATCAATCTGCCACTCGAAGCAGTTAAAACTAATACGAATTCAACCGCACAGAAGACTCTGTGACTGGCAATATTGAATTTTTGCACCCCTTCAGAATGCATTTTCGAACAGCCAGGCAGGAAAACTCGTCCGTCACCAAAAGAGCGGCCAATTATGATTGTCTCGCGACATATTCCTAGGGAATCCAGCTTTGCAGTTTTGTGAAAAAATATACACCAAATGATTACCGATTCTCCGCGCGTGGGGTCAATCGATACATATCTAATCTTGGCCAAGTATTTCCCGATTCTCTAGTGGCGCATGGTATGGAATGGTCCACAGACTTTCAATAATCTGAGCGCTTTTAAATGAACCAACTTGAAAAAGGACTGAACGTCACACGGAGCAACCATCCAAGCAAAAGCACGAGTCGCTGTGACACTTGAGTCCTCATCAGTGAACGGGAATTTGTCGAAATCCGGCAGGAGCAACACCGCGTCCGCCTCAGTGCACTAAAAGGAAACGTGATAATGAAATTAGAAAATACGGCTGAAACAGCCTAAACTTCTAGAGTACCTTCAATATTACTGCTTCTCTGTCTTCACCAAGGCTTACTTCACCATCGGAATCTTCACCACTGTCATCTTGATCTGATGAAACGCCGTCCTCTTCATCTGACTCGTCGTCAACGTGAGCACCCTTAAAAGTTCTTTGAACACGTTTGCAAGATCACAGGATCTAAAGAGTTTGTGAAAAACCCTGTTCATATATCACAAGAATGCTGAGTTGTGGGCAAAAGTCGTGCCCCAGGCGGGAGTCGAACCCGCACCACGCTTTCCGGGCGAGTGCGCTATCCGTTACGCCACCAGGGCCGCTTTTACCCTCTCAGCTTAACGGCTTTTATGCCGTAGCCTTACAGCACTCACACGTTTAACTTGGTGACGGATAGCGCACTCGCCCGGAAAGCGTGAGGTGCGGGTTCGACTCCCAGTCATGGCGGTAGCTGCGCTTTTAATAAGCATTTTCATTTGGGGAGAATTCCAACCGTCTACGTCCAACACAAGACAAGACGACAGTTGTTCCGAAGTAAAACAACCCACGAAGAACTTATCTTACTTCATGCTCAAATGAAGCATGGAGCCACGCCTACCGCGTCTCCAGGGATAAGGAACTCACCTCTTCGTCTTCTAAGTCTTCCTCGTCGTTTGATGAGTGCTCTATATCTTCACTATCTTCGCTATTTGAGGGTTCCTGAAAAAATAGTAAAGACCAAAAGGATGATATCGTCGAAATAGCACGCCGCGCCAAATCCGTCCCCCGCCCATCACAAGCTTCGGACAAGACAGTTATTCAAAAGTCTCTTTGGAAGACCAGTGAAACGTGACAAAGATACTCAGAACCCAAACATACCTCTACAAAACTGACTTTCTTAGAGTCCTCTGCAGCTTCTTCGTCAGTGACACCTTCATCTTCACTATCGTCTTGATCTTCTTCAAGCTCCTCGTCTTCTTCATCAATCTCTTCATCGTAGTCCTCATCCTCATCCGAGTCTAAATCCGTTGCCGAAGGCAAATGAACCAACTTTCACAGTGACTGAGATATGAAAAAATGAAGCAGAACAAACTAGTGACTTACCATAAGTACCATCACTCTCCAGTCCGTCCATGTTCTCCTCATTTTCTGGAAGAAAAAAAATTGAAGTTTAGTGAAGCTCCATGAAAACCCGGAAGGACCAGGACTCTTTCAAAGTTAAACGATTTCTCCCCATTTACCTTGTCGAAATGTATACGTTTTGAAAATGCAAAAATATTATCTTGCGTTATATCACACATCCACTGCAAAAGGAAAGACTTACCTTTCTGACCGCCTTCCTCTTCCTGAGTGTGACTTAGCCGACGCTTCTTCTGGAACAGTGGAGGTGATAAATCCAGTCATTTACAAGAATTGCTGAGTTGTGGGCACAAAGTCATGGGTGTCCCAGGCAAGGAGAAATCGAACCCGCCCACCCACGCTTCCCGGGCGCAGTTGCGCTACCTGTTACGCCACCAGGGCCAGCTTTACGCCTCGCAGATTAACGGATGACGCATTTTATGCCGTACGCCTTACAAGCATTTCATTTAGCTTGCGTGAGCGAGGCGCCGTGGTGGCGTGTCAGGAATAGCGCCACTGCCCTAAGAGGCGTGAGGTGCGGTTTCGACTCCCCAATCATGGCGGTAGCTGCGCTCTTACCTAAGCATTTTCTCATATTGGGGCATGAGAGAATTCCAACCGATCTACGGTCCAATCACAAAGACAAGACGACAGTTGTTCCGAAGTAAAACAACCCACGAAGAACCTATCTTACTTCATGCTCAAATGAAGGATGGAGCCACGCCTACCGCGTCTCTAGGATAGAGACCACCTCTTCCATCATCTCACAGTCTTCCTCGTCGTTTGATGAGTGCTCTATATCTTCACTATCTTCGCTATTTGAGGGTTCCTGAAAAAATAGTAAAGACCAAAAGGATGATATCGTCGAAATAGCACGCCGCGCCAAATCCGTCCCCCGCCCATCACAAGCTTCGGCAAGACAGTTATTCAAAAGTCTTTGGAAGACCAGTGAAACGTGACAAAGATACTCAGAACTCAAACATACCTCTACAAAACTGACTTTCTTAGAGTCCTCTGCAGCTTCTTCGTCAGTGACACCTTCATCTTCACTATCGTCTTGATCTTCTTCAAGTTCCTCGTCTTCTTCATCAATCTCTTCATCGTAGTCCTCATCCTCATCCGAGTCTAAATCCGTTGCCGAAGGCAAATGAACCAAACTTTCACAGTGACTGAGATATGAAAAAAATGAAGCAGAACAAACTAGTGACTTACCATAAGTACCATCACTCTCCAGTCCGTCCATGTTCTCCTCATTTTCTGGAAGAAAAAGAAACTGAAGTTTAGCGAAGCGTCATGAAAACCCGGAAGACCAGGCCTCCAGCTCTTTCAAAGCTTCAAACGATTTCTCCCCATTTACCTTGTCGAAATGTATACGTTTTGAAAATGCAAAAATATTATCTTGCGTTATATCACACATCCACTGCAAAAGGAAAGACTCACCTTTCTGACCGCCTTCCTCTTCCTGAGTGTGACTTAGCCGACGCTTCTTCTGGAACATGGAGCGTGATAATCACATGAAAAATTCGATTTTAAAAACCCGTCACCCTTTCTTTCTTCCTGAATCGCCTCTTCCCTTTTTATTGATAACATCGCCAAACATATTCGACCGTTGCCTATATTTCACCACCTGGAACAGACCAATGCTTCGCGACTAGGCGCTTTAGAGATTACTGAAAATACGTCACCCAGTTTTTATCTTTTTCACTGCGCATTTTCTGAGCAGCGGGAATACGTTGTTGTTCGGCGATCTTCAGGAGCGGATGTGCTTCTCTCCTGACTTCCTTTCGCCTGCCATTTATTGCCAGGAGTGGGTTTCTATGCGGCTTCGCATTCAAACATCCGCTTAGGCGTTCGTTTACTTCATTTTTCTGAACTGAAAACCGCAAGAGCACTGGTCGCCACAAACTGATTAACGCACTTCTTCCGTCAGCGGCATGCGACAGGTGCGTGCAGTGGGGAAGAGCAGTGGGTGGGCGGCGGGGGAGGTTAGCGCTCACAGTAGGCCCTTTCCTCCATCAGTTTGTTGAAGAACTATGTGGCGGACAAAACTGGGAAAACGGCTCATAGGAACGATATGACACTGTCTTGTTGCTCGCCGAAAAAAAAAACAGGCAGGCGCTGCGCTCCTTGACGCGCCACATCATCCGCAGCGACAGGACTTCATCACCGTTACCCTTCTCGGTAATTTTGACTCTTGAGGCCTCACTTTGCACAGCTCTTCTTGTAGAAAACTTCTGCCTGAAAAACAAATCAGCAGTACGAAATGGGAAAAATCAAAACGGCTTCTCCTTTTATATCCGTTTCGATGCCTCAACAAAATTTTTATGAAGACTTTATCGTTACAGCTAATTCCTACTTCCATGAAGCACCTCGTGTTCAAAAGAGAGTGATTTCTGTGGCGGACTTAAATATTTACGGAAAGATGGTAACGCAAAAGTGTAGGAGAAAGCACCTACCCTCCCACCACTATTAATGTCCCATACTTGTACCCCATGCTGAACCCCGAGCTTATACATACATAAGGCGGCGTCCAGACTTCGCGACAGCAGCGTTTCGGTCGCGCGTTGATGGGCTTCGGTCGCGCGTTGATGGGCATCTACCGTGTTCGCGAGCGTCTGTGTGTGGTGCGGACTGAAGGCATCTACCCGTAACGAGACCGGCGAACTGAAGCGCTGCCCGTGCCGAAGCTGGAATGCTGCCTAAAGGCAAAAGGGCGTAGTCGACGAGTTCCCCACCTTGACTCGTGCCAGCCTCTCTCTTATATCATCTCACCTCTCATCTCGAAGACCGTGGGCACAACTCACGTGCTGGTCACAGGCCAATCGCCATTTCAATCGAAGCCAAGGATCAGAAGCGTCATTACTCGATTCATTTAGTTCGACAATGATTGGAGTTTTGACCTTGGAACGTCCGTGCTTTTGAGTTCCACTCTTGTGCTTACGCACCATTGCTCCTTGATGGGGCAGTGATTATTACGGAAAATAAATACCCTGAAACAAAGATATTATATGCTGCAGCTTATTTTGAAGACAGCAGATCAGATTAAGCAAAAACTATCGCGTCAGCCGAAGCATCACTAAAGTAATTAACATTCTTCAGCAATTATCGATTGAGAATATGTCTGCTCAGGAAAAATACTCAATGGCGGAATTATTCCCAAAAAAGATTCAAATACACACTCCTAATTACCTGCGAAGACGAAAGGACTCTCCACGTCTTATACCACCCCAACTGCCCTTTAACCCTTTTCGAAGTTTGCTTCAATCTAATGAATGCTAACGCCGGACAACTTGAGAAACTTCACGCATTCTGCACCACGAGTCCTTTGACAGCGGACGCCAGCCACTGATTGGGTGTGCTTTCATTTTCCCAGTGGACAGCCCTATTCGGAAAGGGAGTGGCGTGTCCCGCACCTCTTCAAACGTGGCCCGCGACTTCTGGTAGGAGATCTTCGTGGGCGACATGCATCCGCCCGTTTTTAGATAGAAATACAACAACCGCTACGGTTCTCCATCTCCAGAATATGAAGATTCTTCCAATCATAGGCCGATCAAATATCTTACTGTTTTTGGGCACAAGTCGGTTTCAAAGGCTAGGGGAGGGGGTGGTTTCGCACGTTCACTGCTTCACAAGAGTTGACAAGTATTCATCACGAAACTGGACCTGTAGTTTCTACAAATTCCGACTGGCACCACTTCATGGTTTTATAAGACTCAGAAATTTGATCGTAATTACTCGACACGACACTGGGAATGCAAAATGCCCCTACCCCAGTCGACGAATTACGCCTTTTTTCGGAGCTACCCGGCCGAACCCCAAAGATCACCCACCGTGGACCACAACTGGCCTTGTGTGATCCCGTGAACATATAAAGTGGACAGCTGTACAGATGGATCAGCCTCTACAGCTTCAACTGAGTTTTAGTGAGGAGCTTCGGGCTCTGTACATCGGTACCTTTTGAACTAGTGACAAATAACCACTAAAACGCTTACGAAGGAAGAAAAGACAGAAACAGGATAACTGAACCTAGAAACGCTCTAAGATTTCTACAGAACGTTTGAGGTATACCTGGATATACTACCAGGTCAAAGAAATACACAGTTCATTTTAAACATTTATTCTGCAAGATACAGGGATCAACGTAGTGCTTCCATTAAATCGCCACTATAGGAACTTGATAACCCTTAGTAGTTGAAAATCTATGGGTAGGTTTAACACGTTCATGATCTCAAGCCCAGTAAAACATGCTGCTAAGCTTGAGACGGGTAGTCGGAATATATAAAAGAACACAAAAATTAGGCTTAATCGATATTTCATCGAGAATCAAATGACAGGTTTTAAAATTATAAATAGAGTTCTTCAGGTGCGCCTTCTTTCTTCCGGTACAGAACATTCTCCTTTGCTTTCTGGAAGTCCTCCATAGTGACCCGCATTCGGCGCTCGCGAAGAGCTAACAGACCGGCTTCCGTACACATGGCCTGCAACATGGGGTGTTTATAGTGATAATGTTAATTGCACAGTTCGTGCTGGCAAATCTTCAAACTGTTCATGTGAAAAGAACAAAAAAATATCGCAACCAAACCAAAAAAGTGGTAGGACCCCGCAGTTGAGAAAGAGCCACGCGACCTCAGTAGGTAACTATGTACCTATAATTTCTCCTGACAGGGCCAGCGTTAAAAGAACGCAAACGACCTGACTGGCCTCGTCTCGAGGCGCTGGAAAGCAAATTCAGTGTTGCTTCCGCGTCCTTGCTTCCTCCCCCTCATCCCTCCCCACCCCAACTACGGAAGCCCTTAAAAGAGTTGGTTCAAATTTGGCCATTGGACGAGTTACTTCGGTACTGAAATATTAGTCTTGAAAAAGTAAATAAACAGGGTAAGAACAGGGAGAAAAAGCGCAACAAATAGTATGGAAGTCGACATTAGAGTAATGCAGATTAACAACTCGCGGAACAGGGTACAGCATCGTTGGGAGAACCCCAACACGCCGCTGGGGAGGATAGGGGGAGCGTTGTTAGCCTTGAAAAATCCTTCCAACCGAGAACTTTTTTCCAATTGTCTACAGTG